AAACAACAAAAGAGACAAGCAACTGTTGTCGGTATTATGGAGGCTGAATAATTTGTAGGCATTGTGTATATATTATGGATTGTGATTGGCTTGGAAAAAAGATTATAGAGCATTTTGAGAGATGGAAAGTGCAATTTGCTTGAGAATTGCAAGAATTTTCTGCAAAAAGATTTGGAGCTGCAACATCTCCCATGTTTATCGAGAATTAATGAATGGTGCTGCTGACCAACTTGCTTCCCTTGGATTTTCTTCTCCTTTAGCCCTGGATATTTTTCAAGTTGCTACGATGCCGTTGCTGTTTATTTTATTAGAGAGTTATTTACACTAACACCTTTTCTGAATTTTTTTTTCACAAAACACACCTAAGGTTTCAGAGATTACACGGATACCCTTTGAGGTTTTAACTTTTTGTCACAAAACCCCTTTACATTGATTTTTTTAGTCCAAATATTGATGATTTTATATATGTAAAAAAATTAAGTTATTTACACAATAACACCCCCTTAGGTTTTCGGCTTTTTCACAAAATCACTTGAGGTTTCGGAAATTACACAAACACCTTTTTTAAAATAAAATAAAAATTAGTGATACACAAACACCTTTTTGTTGAGGGGTTCTGTGAAAACAGTTTAAACCCTCAAATGGTGTTCATGTAATTACCAAAACCTCATGGGGTTTTGTAAAAAATTCAAAAACTTGAGGGGGTATTAGTTTAAATAACTTTTAAAAAAATTCTTCAAATAACAAAGTTAGCCCTTGAGATTAGATTGCACATATATTTATTGAGATTAATTTTGTCATCTACAAAGTTAGCCTAAATGAACAATTAACTAAAATGGGTTCCTTTTAAACAAATTGAAACTTCAGGGGGTTGTTCGTGTAGGTTTTGAAACCTCAAGGGGTTTTGTGAAAACGCTAAAAACCTCAACGACTATTAGTGTAAATAATTGATAATCTACTTAAAGAAGGCTTTAAAGAAGTCACTTCGACGAAACATATAATTGGAATGACCACTAGTGCTTCTTTATGGTTACGGAATTTAAACTCCAAATCATAACCTGCTAGAATTCTCAAACCTATGGCCACTTTTCTTTTCTTTTTATTTTATTTTATTGTTGATACAAGCGATAATAAGGAATGGGGATATTATGATCTTAACCACCTGAGTTATAAGCTCTCCTTGCACATAAGATCTTTTTTTTTTTTTACTTTTGATAAAGTGATATTCTAAACTGCTCCAGTATGCGAAGAGGAGAATCAAATTCTAATGCAAAAGAGCATGCATATTGTCTTGACCAACTTTTCTAATCTAAATAGTCTCATCATCCTAATCTAAATAGTCTCATCATCCGATATATGGGTGAATAGAATTGTAATGACAATTGAAATATGGGTTGATTGCAAGTGATTGACCTTGACCTGAAGAAAATAGTGGAATACTTTCTGCCGTAACTATAGTTTTCGAGTCCAGACATTGCGATTGATAATCCATTTAAAGAAGGCTTTAAAAAACTTACTTTCACGAAGCACACGTAATTGGAATGACCAGTACGCAGTGCTTCTTTATGGTTATATGGAAAATAAACTCAAAATCATAACCAACTAGAATTCTCAGACGTAAGGCCACTATTCTGTTTTTCTTTTTCTTTTTTTGTCTGTTAATACAAGCAATATTGAGAAGGGGGATTGAACTTGCAGGAGTCAATGTTCTTAACCACTTGAGATATAAGTCTCTTGCACCTGAGGCCACTTTTTAAGTTTAATAAAGCGATATTCTAAACTACTGCAGAGAAGAGGATCGAACTCGAGTGCAAGGAGCTGGCACATTATCTTAGCCAACTATCCTAAACCACGTCTACAGACATAAGGCTACATCGTTTTCTCCTTAAGTATATTAATATAGTGTCAATTTATTCTACACAAAATCACTTGAATTTGATATCATTTGACCACTCAATTAAATTATTGAAATTTTAGTACTTCATTAAAACACCGTGTTCATTGATTTTGTAGGACACAATTAGATATTTAAACGGTTTCCTAAAGAGTGTCCCTCAAATAAAATTATTTGAAGAATTCCTTAATAAAATGATATATATATCCCCGATATCTTGGACCATAGGAGTCCAAGAGATTGTGGTCACCCACCGTTGGATATTAATCAAATGGTTCAAAAAAGTTTCTTAAAAGGAGTGCAAGAGTGAGTGAACCGTTGAATTTATATCCAACGGTGAGTGACCACAAATCTCTTGGATCCCTGTAGTCCAAGAGATCAGGACTAATATATATATGAAATTTAGAAAAGTGGGGGCCAAGGCCATCCTTGGCCTTAAAGCGGCTCTGCCACAGAGCCCATCAGCAATGAGACAGAGTATTTGGGTCACTAGGTTTTGTCACCTAGATCTGTAGTACTGTTTTATCTCTCACTTTCGGACATATGAATCTAAAGTTCTTATTCAAACCAATCAATTTTTCAATTTCGTTTTTAAAAATCAAGCACAACAGCTCGGAAACAACCAAGTAAGCATAAAAAATAAAAGTAAAAAGCAAACCAAAATTCTTACTCAAAACTTCGTAAGCAAAGTTTCATAATTCAATTAACAAGAACGCCAATCTCTTTCTCTACGAAAGGACTCAGGCTTTTGTTTTTCAACGTATAATTTATTTTTATTTTTTTGGCCGAAGTTAAGAAGTGGATGAGGTAAACTCACACACACGGGTATCATGGTTACTTGAACTCACCATACCACTTGAGAGCACATCGAAAATCTGACCAACCCAACTAACGCCTATTTTGGTACCTTAATTATAATTTATGAAACATTCATAAATTGTTGTCTGGTGGGGGAGGGGTTGGGGTTGGCGGCTTAGGGATTCCAATGCCTCTGTTGGTGACCAACTGCTGGTTCTCTCTCTCTCTCACCAACGGCCCACCCCGACCCAAGCTCCCTTCTTTTTTTAATATTTTTTTCTTTTACATTTTTTTATTTTAGGTTTCTCTGGTATTCTCCCTTGTAAAATGATAAACTTGCCCCTGCGATTGAAGGAAAATTGAATGGAGTTGTGAAAACTGAACAGTAAGTCTTAAATTGCCTATTCTTATCTAGTTTAAGTCTTAATTGGGTGAAAAAAAAATATAATGAAGGGAATAAAGTCGGATTAACGTGATAATTCAGGGGTAAAACGGCATTTTACCTTTTAGAGAGAAAGGTTGGGAGGATGAATAAGGTTAATTGCAAATTTAAATTTAAATACGGATAAGTAAATTGATAAGCACAATAATATAGAGATAAGGAAAGAGAGATTCAAACTCAGACATTTATACTGGTTCAGTCCATCTGACCTACATCCAGTCCTCAAGCACACCACTTGAGAGTTTGATCCACTATGTTGGAAAAACTCCTTGCAGGTGGAGTTGAAACTTTTACACTACTAGAGCACACTACTCCTTCACAGCTAGAGCACACCACTCTTTCACAGGTAGAGCACACCACTCTAACACACTAGGTGGAAGACACCCTTCTCACCTCACAGGGTCAAACCAACCCCTTTCACAAGTTTGAAATAACTCTCGGAACAAAAAATCTCTCCTATTTGAAAGGGATATACAATTGAATCTTACACAAAGATAACTCTCCTTTCTGAGTAGGTAATACAGAAGAAATTCGAACACTAGAACTCCTGTATGAATTTGAACAAGATTGGCTCAAGAGAAAAAGATATTCATAGTATGATGAATGCTTGTAGGCTTGGATGAATATGTTGAATTTTTCTTTTTTACAACAAATCTGAATACATATTTATAAATATAGAAATATAGCGTTTGAAAAATATAGATGTTAGGAAAAATAGAGCCGTTAAGGAAGTACTCCTTTTACTTTTATTTATTTTTATATTACTCTATTTACTTAAGTTTACAATGTAAATAAGGAAGTACCCCCATTTGGATTCAAATAAAAATACTAGAAAATCAAATTCCGAACAAATCAAAATATAAAAAATCGGTTTTAGGTCAACATACGATTTAGACTAAAAATGATGACTTATTAAGTCAATATATACTTCATATAAAAATCTCAAAAAATCAAGTTTTCTTATTTGATGTGTAAGGAATAAAAGCCGCCAAAAATTATCTTGAGAAAATGATTATTCTAAAACACCATTTTTCATACGGGTGCATTTTTGCTCACCACTTTAACCATAGGTGTACCCTCACCACCATCCTCAATGTTTGACACGTGTCCATAGGTATAATCATGATTCCATAAATACAAAGCAAAAGTTAACTATGGTTATGTCTATGGACATGTGTCAAGCATTGAGGATGGTGGTGAGAGTACACCTATGATTAAAGTGGTGAGCAAAAATGCTCCCTTTTTCATACTTAGCCAATATTTTATAGAACAATTTTTCATGTAGGATATGGATGCATGAAGGGACCTAAAGTCAATCTAGGTAAAGAGCCTTAGATGTCCAATTCACAAAGAGTTTTACAAGAATAACCTAACTCTTCTGTATTGAAGAAATATTTGCTTGAGTGTCGGCTTCTTGCTCAGTGTTCCAAATGTCTTCCAATGTGTACAGTATTTTTGATCCATTGGAAATACTTGCTCCTTACAACTTATCACACTTGAAATACATTAGATAAAACGAACAATTTGTTATCATCAAAATATGCACAACAATATTGAAAACCGTAAGGCTAACATATTCAACTAAAAATTAATTTGATAATGGATGGAGATGCTCATGATAATACAAAATTATCAAAAATATCAGTTGCGTACAATGCTCACCATACACCCACAGTTGTTATTGTTGCTAGTCATGTTACATGATTAGTGGGAATATGCTATGTTAACTATTGGTCAAGGTACATAATGGGTGAAACGTAAGAACTAATAATTACCCACTCTGTCCAATTCTCTTATAAAAGCTAAAGAGTATGCTTAATTATTCCAGGAGCAACATAGCTAATTTTGAGGGAAAGCTTATCAGTCATGAAAACTCTTAATATTTCCACCTTCTGCTTCCTCAAGTATTTCATTCGTTGCTTTCTTCTTCTATGCCTGAATCTATTCCCTTCGGAAACTGGCATTTCCTTGGCAGAAAGAGACATGAAAACTGACCTTGCTGTTCAACATATTCATAGAGTTGAAGTCAAGTCTCTGCTACCAGAAACCACCTGCAACCCCTCCACCAAAGGTTATTCACATAACTATGAAAGGCCCTTACCTCTATGTGCATGTAGTCGTTAGAAGTAATGGAAAAGTAGATTGTCATCTTTCCATAACGAAAAGGCAATCTTTCCAGATGATGAAAAAATTTAAAATTTTGATTGTTCTTTTTCCGTTGATTTTTACTAGCATATACTCGATGGACTGACTTTTTAATTTATTGCGACATGGGTTTTATTTAAAGATAACAACTAACTAGCAATTGGTGGCAGAGGCGGATTAGACCAGTTCGTCACAATAGTGAGCTTGGCCCCATGCACTCAAGTTTGAATCTCCCCTTCCGGTAGATTAGATAAATAGAGTAATTTAGATTATTGCTTATATATATATATATATATATATATATTAAACTACAATTGATAAAAGCTTGAGAAAAAAAGTCAATATGTGCTAATTTTAATCTAAATCATAAACTGTTATAAGCTTGAAAGAAAAAAAAAATTAATTTCCTTGAGGACCTCATGAGTAATGTTATATATGTGAAATTAATTACGAATATTCGATCATTTGAATTCAGAATCACCTATTTCAATCCAGGTGAGGAGAATAAAGCATCAGCATTAAAAGTGGTACACAAACATGGCCCTTGCTCCGAACTCAACCAAATACACAAAGAAAATACTCCCAATCATACTCAAATCCTCGACCGAGACCAAGCCCGGGTCAAATCAATCCACTCTCGGCTTGGTTCAAAGAAAATGAACAGCGACGATGCCACCACAATGCCAGTCAATTCCGGTGACATAGTGAGTTCTGGGGACTACATTGTGACTGTGGGCCTAGGCACACCTCAGCAGAAACTTTCGCTCATATTTGACACAGGAAGCGACCTCTCCTGGACTCAATGTCGGCCATGCATTGGATCCTGCTACAAACAAATGGAGTCCCTCTTTGACCCTTCCATCTCCACTTCATATGTCAATATTTCCTGTAAATCCAATGTCTGCTCTCAGCTCACTCCAGTCACACAGAAAATACCTCGTTGCTCAACTGACAACTCTACGTGTATGTACGACATGCAATATGGAGACAAATCATTCTCTGTTGGATTTTTCGGCAAAGAAAGCCTCACCTTAACTTCAACTGAGGTGTTCGATGAGTTCCTCTTTGGATGCGGCCAAACCAACCAAGGCAACTTTGGGAGCTCCGCCGGGTTTCTTGGACTTGGGCGCCACAACATCTCCTTCGTCCAACAAACAGCCAACAAGTATGGCCGCATTTTCTCTTATTGTCTACCCTCCACTTCAAGCTCCACCGGTTACCTTGGTTTCGGCAAAGACCGCAGAGCTTCTAAGCACGTAAAGTTCACGCCCCTCACCACTGTCTCTCAAAACCCATCTTTTTATGGCCTCAACCTGGTCGGTATCAGTGTTGGTGGACGTAAATTGTGGATTTCACCTTCGGTTTTCTTATCTTCTGGGACCATCATTGACACGGGGACGGTCATAACCCGCTTGCCTGTGGCGGCTTACAGCGCTTTGCGGGATGTGTTTCGTCAAGCGATGACAAAATATCCGTTAACTCAGGCGCTTTCGGTACTGGATACATGCTATGATCTTAGTAGTTATGTGACAGTGAAGTATCCACACATAGCATTTTACTTTCAGGGAGGGCTGAAGTTGAAGTTGGATGCTACGGGTATATTTTACTCATCCAGTGCTTCCCAGGTTTGCTTGGCCTTCGCTGGAAATGATGCTAATAATAAATTTGCAGTACTTGGGAATGTTCAGCAGAAGACGTTCGAGGTTGTGTATGACGTTGCTGGGGGGAGGGTTGGATTTGCCAGTGGTGGTTGCCTTTGAGAACGCATGCATGCAACAAGCTCGCTGCCCGAACTATGTGCAACTCTAATGGCAATATAGAACAGCAATATGCTAGACTAGTGAACAATGATTTCACTCATAAATAAGGAAGTTATTGTAAAGAGACATTCTCACATGTTTCTACAAATAACTCAATTAGAATCGTTATGATATTAATAGCTCATTATGTTTACATTAAATCAATGTGAATACAACATATCGAATGGGTCTTTAAAAGAGAATTCTAGCTACATGGATGAGCCCAAAGGCTTCTCATCAATGAAAAGGAACCCACAGGTAAACGACATGGATTATATTTCTTAGATCTAAGGTATATTATTAATACTTAAATACACTATTATAATATAAGTGAATTTATAACATCACGTGGCTGTGTGATAGTCCATTGAAAAACTTCTCATTTGGCACCACTTCCTGAGGTAGTAGATATTCATTTCTCCATCTATACTATTAAATAAGAGAACCCACATTTTATTTTATTTATCTGGTCTTTCAACCCTGTTTTGAAACTGAAGATTACTGGGGCAGTGCAAAAGGGATTCGAATTCTTGGATTTTCATTACCCTATGGCATTTTCTAAATTCATGTTGTGAATAGGTTTCTAGAGATGATTTGCAGCTTCGTCTGGACTTCAGGAAATTGCTGCCACTTCTCCTGCTAGCCATCATATGATTCATGTTGGAGCAGTAAGTTTTGTTCCAATATTTTGATCACCATTTTATTTTTGGTTAATTTATATTTCATAAGGTTGCTTGCTGCAGAAGGTGGTGGTGGTGATGGTTCACAAAGTTCAGATCAAGAACTTGCTTTGTCCAGAGCTGTCGATGCTATGGCCCTTAGCACCCTTAGCATGGAAAAGGATTTAGAGTCTTCCCAATCTAAGAAAGAAAGCATCGTGCAAAATAGGAAAATGAATGCCGGGTGAAACAAAACATTGAAGCAACAGATGAGCATTTGGAAAGTCCGCTGAAGAAATACAAACCACTAGAGAGTAGTGGAAAAAAGTGCTTTAGTACGCGCAAAAACGGAAATTTTAATGCCTCCATGTATGAGAAACTATTTAAAGTTTATTGTCATGATCATGCATACCCCACATATATTACTGTTTACCCATTTAAGGTTCAATAATCCTTTTATATTTGTATTTTTTTAAATAGAAAATTATTGAAAAGGATAGAATGATATATATATATATATATATGCTCTGAAGGCGACAAAAATAACCTAACCCTTAAAAGAGAAGTTAACATAAAGCGGTTTGTTACGACAATAGAAAATTATTGAAAAGGATAGAATGATATATATATATATATGCTCTGAAGGCGACAAAAATAACCTAACCCTTAAAAGAGAAGTTAACATAAAGCGGTTTGTTACGAAGAAAAAAATACATAAAAGAGTTTGTAGCTCAAGTGATTAAGAACATTTATTGATGCATTAGTTTCCTTTACCCCCTCCCTCGGTACTGCTTATAACAAATTTCTTAATAATAACAACATAGAGAAAGTAAAATACACAGAATCATCAAGTAAACTTGTAGCTTAGACATGTCAATGGGTCATATTTTGATCTTAATCCAGTGTAATTAATAGGAAATGGATTGGACTTATCAATCCAATAATCCGAATCCGATAATCCAATTATAAATGGATCCAGATATGGATTATGTTAATGTATGAATTTTGATTAATTCTTTTGGCTTCCCTTGACAATTTTGTAATAGGACTTTTATATGTATTTATCAAGCTCAAGGATAGATTAAGATTAGCATCTCTAAGTGTTCTTAAATCTCATCTATCCTATGGAGGTTCAAGCAATTTGACAAAGGTAAAATCATGCATTGCATATCATGCATTAAAACTGTTTTCATAAAAGATGACTAGTCATCTTTGCTCAGTGCGATTTCCAGCTGGTTAACCATCTGTTTTGTCCTATTCTATTTTCTCTCTCTGCTGCCATGTGTCAGTCTGACCTAAGGGATTCTTTTGTCTGTAAAAGCAAGTGAATCCCTCATTTGGAAGTCACCTCTTTTGTGTGGAAGTTTTGGAAAGATTGGCTTGCCACCGGTTTCTTGAAGAAATTGGTGTTTCTCCCTTGAATCCAAAGTTTGGCTTCGTTCTAAGTTGGAGCTTGCAAGCTAGTGCCATGGGATGATCGCGCTGGAGAAGGAGCTGCCATTGCCATGATGAACTGAGCTTTGAGCTTTGCTAAGTTGGAGAAGAAGATTGCACAAAGGAGGCATAGTTCATTTTCCTAAATAGATCTAGGTTTTGCTTGAGCTTGCTTGTATTCCTTTGTAAGAATCTTTTTCTACTTAGTGGATTGCCTAGTCGGTTGATGACTTCCAGTTTTTCCCAATGGTGGGTTTCTGGGTAAACAAAATCTGTTTTGCATATCTGTAATTTTTCTGGGTTTCTGTACTTGGTGGTTGACTAGTCATATATATCTGCTGTTTGCTGTTTACTTGATAATGATGACTTCACACACTTTCACCATAGTTGTTGCTAGCACAAGGGATGCCTAGATTGATGGGTCCTTCTGAGTGCCTAGGTTGTCACTAGTAATCTTCTAGGGCTGCAGGTACTTTGTGGCATGCTCTGTGTGTTCTCTTGATAGTTGAGTTGTTGTGTCTTGTTTGTTTAGTTAAATTTACCCCTCGTCACCTAAGTATCAATTTCAGATTATAGTTGATCCGATCCGATAATAATCCGATTCGACTTAGTATATATGAAGTATAATTTAATTTTTCTGTGCTTTATATTAATATTTAATATGTGTAAATGAGTAATTTTAGTTTTATATTTACTAAGAATACACTTAAAACTAATTTTTATGATAAAATATCAAAGTTTGATATAAAAAGTAAATAAATACAATAAATACTAATGAAATTTTGATTTTTTGCACATCTCAAAATAAATATGATAATAATATGATTCGATCTGGATTCGATGTGTAACGAATATGGATTGATAAGTACAATCCGATAGTATGAATACGATCCAAATCCAATAATCTGATTATAAATGAATTCGGATTTAAATTCAAATATATCTTATCCGAAGCCGACCAGTTTACAGTCCTAGCTAGGATCCGCGAAAGATCCTGCGAAGTTATCAACACTTGATGTTGGAAGAAGTCCAACTAATTAATTAATTTACTATGACCATCCAATACACTATTGCCATTATTGCAAACTCATCATGCCACAATCATCATTACAGAAGGAGAAATTGGCAAATGAACAACCAATCACACAATAAACAAAATCCCATACTTGGCCAATTTACACTCGTTTTCCTTAATAAATATCAATTGCGCTTAGCATTGATGTAGTGCGCCAGCGCCTCCCCCAACCCCACGGCGAGACCAACAAGGCTTTCGCTTTGGTTTCATTAGTGGAAATTTACATTTGCATTTACATTTATGCACTGGTGGGGTTTAGGTAGCTTAGGTTGTTTGCCACTTTATCAATCAGCAGTGATGGCTAGCCGATTACTTTATGAGGCAACAGTCTCTCAACAACGGAGTACTCTTTCTCAACAAAGGTTTTATAGTAAGGAACACTTGTATGACCCATTTCACCGTTATTATTTATAAATCATCTCTGCCAAAAAAATCACTTAAATCAGAAAAACATTTCACCATTGATTTTTACCGTACATGGTTCACTAAAGGAACTAAAAATTCACAAAACAAAAGGTACATGGTTTAGTAAATCCTATTGTAAGGACACAATCCCAAATTTTTTTAAAAGAAGCTATTGAAAAGGCATACAATAGCATTATATATATATAGGCAAACATACAATAGCATTATTATAGAAATGATGTGGTAGAAGAGTTTTTGAGATCAAGCACATGGCTTTTGTCAATCTCAGCCCATGTTTTGGCATGCCGTATGTGACACTTGATAGTATTAAATAACAGTTAAGGAAGAAAAGGAGGGTAACCTATGACAATCTTGCAACTTTTTCAATGTGGTTGCCTTCCTGCCGCTGAGGCAAAGTGCTTGGAATCGTCGAAGACTTTGAAATAATGAGGAGGTCTGGTCCTCTCATCTCCGCCCCCTCTTTAGACCTAATGTGGTTTACAATTTGGAACTTGGAATCAATTGTTCTTTGAAAAATCATCGACAAGAAAACGACTTGGAACTTTGAATTCACATGAAAGATGCACGGGTATCACATATCGACGGCAATCTTGTTGAATCATGATCAGCACTCCAAAGCCTAGAATAAAATTTCAGCCAGTCTTAATTTCTAAGATCTTCATTTCCCGGAAATGGAATCGCTCAGTGTTCAAGCACGCGTGATCATCACATTATGATCATCTCAAGTGCCGCGAAAACTAAAATAGCAAGGTGTTCGCTTTGGTTTCGTTAGTGGAAGAAATATCTCTGTTTCTGTGGTTATGGTTGTCTGCCACTTCCTCAGTTTTCAACTTAATTATGATTTGCCTTATAATAAACATATCAATTTCAAGCTGGAAAGAAGGAAAGAAGTTATACCTTTAATTGCTCCTATGTCTCCGTGTGTGTATATATATATATCCAAACCCTGTGAGCAACGTAAATACAAGAAACAAAAGCTAGCAATGCAGCCGTATAACTCAATGGCTCATATCTTCCTTCTCATCCTCTTATTCTCTTCTATTATCTCTACAAATATTCAAGCATGCAACCAAATTGAGCGCAGCTCTCTACTCTCCTTCATCCTCACTCTATCTTCTCCTCCTTTAAACTGGACTTCGGTTAACTGTTGTCATTGGAAAGGCATCACTTGTAATCAGGATGGTTGGGTTACCCATTTGCTCTTACCCTCCAAAGAGCTCAAAGGAGCAATTTTTCCTTTGTCATCATCACTTGGAAATCTCACACATCTCACCCACTTGAATCTCTCCCACAATTCACTCTACGGATCACTTCAAACTGAATTCCTCTCATCCTTGAATCGTATTGAGATCCTTGATTTGAACTAT